TATATGCGTGTGTGAATTCCTGGCTGAGTCTGGTTGATTTGTGCGATGTATCGTATTACTCTGTATGTGGATGTTAGTGCCACAGCTCCCTTTTACCTATACTTAACACGTACCTACACCGAGTGGAACCATACCTCTCTATTGGCCAACCCGTGTGCGTGTGTGCCCGCCAAAAGTGATGTGCTATTAATAGCCACCAATGAAAACCTCAGGGCATGATTCATCGGGATCTCAAGCCAAGCAACATCTTCCTGGACGGTGAGGGTATTATTAAAATCGGTGACTTTGGACTGGCCACGGCAGACGAACCACGGGCTGTACCACCAGGCGTAGTAGGTATATCAGATAATGTGCATGCGTATGTGTACATGTTACAAGAGGTAGTAGGTATATGAAATGATAAGCATGTGTATGTGTATGTGTATGTGTATGTGTATTTGTATGTATATGTGTATGTATATGTATATGTGTATGTGTATGTGTATATGTCATTAGGGTTTTAGTACCATATAGATGAAATTTCACTTGGTGTCTATATGTGTACATACATATACCATAGAGTTAAAGGTTCACTTTGTGTCTATATATGTATATATACATACGATACTTCATACGTTAGCTAGTGTTCTTTCTCTATATGTACATACATACACATATGATACTATACACTTATATTAGTATTCTATGTCTATATATACATACCTACACATACATAGGGTCGTCCGCCTCTCCAACCCACTCCTTTTATACATCTCCAGGTGCAGGTGCATTGAACATCCCCAATGGGAAGATAGAGGTTGGACTAGTACGCGAGAACTCGGGGTCGTCCATGTTACAGTTAAACGGGACAAATATGCCCAATCAGACCCATCCCAAGTCAACCACCACCACAGGCAATGACCTGACAGGGGGGGTGGGCACTGCTCTGTATGTGTCACCGGAACTAGAGCATGCACGAAAGGGTGCTAGATACACCCAGAAGGTAGGTATCTGGAGGGAACGCTGGTATATATATATATATAGTAGAGATA